GGTGAGAGTATCTGTGCCGCTCCTATATTAAAGTGGTATGTTCGCCGTGATGGTTACTCCAACAAAATGAAGAGAGAAACAAATATTTTGAAACTGAAAGAAGACCTTATTAGTCAGGGTTTAGTTGTTCTCGACGCTCCATTTCTAATGGCTAGAATAAAAGAGTTTATGAACGACGTTCAGACTCGAATTGTTGGAGGTGATCCCATTATCCATCTTCGCAGGCTTCACTCGACTGCTGACGACGTACTGGCGGGCGCGAGCGTGAAGATAGCGGCACATTATACTCTTCTTGTGTTTGGTTGTGTACAGGCTTACTTGCCGGATAGTCACCAAGCGAGCGACGCTTGCCACATTTACTAGCCGTCTGCACTATCCCCGTGTACAAGAACCTTTAGTTCTTGTCAAGAACCTTTCGTATTAGGGCCCCATACACGATAGAGTCCAACTCGCGAGTTAAATTCTGCTAACCTCAAAACTCCCAAAAATGGCGCCGAATTAACAGAGATGGGCAACGGCAAAGTAATGGCGAGTCGAGCACCGGCTTCCTCTGCTTGCTGTGGGGCTCGGCAGTCGGTGTCGGCTGACGAGGACGTGAGGAGTTGCTATGCAGACGCCAAGCTATTAGGGTGTGGGCACTGTGCAGTCATGGCGGACTCCAAACTATTCACGGGCCGACTCCCTAACTAAGTTTATTGAAGAGAACCGCTAATAGCTGTGTTTGTGGAAGGTCAGAAGCGCAGACTATTTCAACAAATTACAAAGCGCTAAAGTAAGGGAATATCTCATTCGAATTATGCGAGAAAAAGTTCCCAATGCAGACCTTTACTTAGTTGAGAAAATGAATAATCCTTGAATAGTTTGATGGTCGTTTTGCTTATAGTAGCGTATGATATTAAGCAATTTCATATTGACTACATCTTCGTCGATTAACTAGCCATAGATTACATAGATCTTTTTCTCTGTGGCTGTATCACTATCCCGAGCTCGTTCAAAAAGACGGTATGGCCACGATGGCAGCAGCTGCAACTTGAACCTTGGCGGACACGTCTTCAACCATGGCCTGAGCGTTGCGAGCAAAGTACGTAGGTGTATGGTGAAATATCCAGAGGAGTCTCCCGATACGTCCACGAAATCTATTCGTTCCATGTGAGGATTAACCCACTCCATCAATACCTGGCTCTCGCACGATTTCAGGTTTTCTTCTTTATGACTAGAGATTTTCAGTGTATTAGCTGTTGAATAAGTTCGGATTCACCAGGATGGTAGTTAAGCAACTCTCCGATCTCATTCCCCTGCCTCGTCACGGCCCAGAGCTTGGCTGTCGGAACTGTCGCGCTCTGCTAGGTCCATGAAGTTCTTGACCTGTAAGAGATTATAAAGGGTTTATTG